TACTAGGGGCTCCTGGCCTTACTACTAGTAACAAGAGGACGCTACTAGGGGCTGCTGGCATCGCTGCTAGGAGCAAGGACGCTATACTAGGGGCTCCTGGCTTTACTACTAGTAACAAGAGGATGATACTGGGGGCTGCTGGCATCGCTGCTAGGAGCAAGGACGCTACCAGGGGCTCCTGGCCTTACTACTAGTACCAAGAAGCTACTAAGAACAAAGGGCATCGCTACGAACGGAGCAAGAAGCTACTAGCTTTGACTCGCTGAGCCCGCTTGCCATGGAAGATACTGGCGGGGGAAGTCGCTGCATCATGAGCCATTTGGGGCATGCGGCATACAGTATCCATACAGGTTTGAGTGTTCTCTCAGGTTTGCTTTGAACAGTCTATTTGACGTAGAATGGCATGTGGTGTGGTTTCAAGTGCTCAGGGCATCATTGATTCCTCGGGATACATCAGAGCACCTCGACAGAAGTGGAGTGATGTATGATGGTTGAGTCGAAGCACTTGGGATCTTCTTTTCCTTCTTCCCTTGTTTCTAATAGCAATGGCCTCCAACCAATCTGCGGATGGGGCATTGAAGGTTTACTGATGAATCCAAGCTGACTGCCCTCCTTGCTATTTGGACTGTCCTCTCTAGCGTCCTTGCTGTTTCTCTTGGACGTGGGCGAGTGTGAACCTTATCATAAACTCCAGTTTTTTCCCCCCCTCCTTAGTAGCTAGCAGCAAGAAGCTACTAGTAGCTTCTTGTTACTGGTAGTAATGCCCTTGTTTCTAGTAGCGATACACTTGCCAGAAGCCCCAAGTGCTACTCTTCATTGACGCACCTAGAGTCTAGAGTCCCTGTTTTGCTTTTTACCATTCCGTGACCAAACCCATCGATCCCGTATCCAAGGCACTTCTTGGCCTCAGCGGCCACACGCTCACTGTTGGCACACTGGCTTGGCAGGACAGCCCCAACACAAAGCACAAGGAAAAGAAAAGAACAGGAAGGGTCTATATCAGTCTTAAGAAGAAGAATACGAGAAAAAACAGAGAAAACAAGATGAAGAAGAGAAAGAAAGCAAGATAGGAAAAACAACACAACAAAATCTAGAGAATGCATCAATTTCTGATTCTGACATGAGCTGAGAACGATTCTGAGGACTATGAAGGAGGCCACCGGATCCTATCAGGATCGCAGGACGGCCTCGGGGACGCCGATTCGCTTTGTAGCTTTGTGGCTTTCCGAATTTGATCTGATGTTTGTGATGTCGATCCGAATTCTTTTCGGCTTGGGGATATTTCAGCTGTGTAGACCGGTGGAAGGGAGTTTAATGATTCAGTTAAAGGAGTTTTTGCATGTTGCTTGTGTTGTCCTCCTTGCATTTTGTCATGCTTTCTGGCTAGGATGAAGCCGTGTGTGTCTTCGACTTTACCGATGAGGAGATCATGGAAGGTTTTTCAACGATGACCCGACAGTGCTCTTCGTAGCACTTCATAGTGCACGAAGGGCTCTTCGTGGCGCTCTTCGTAGGTTAGGCCGTTAGGTGATGCATTGCCGTTAACCTTTCGGTGCTTTGTCGTTGGCCGTGCTTTGTGTACTTTAGCCGAAATTCGCCAGCCAATGCCATGTAACACGCCTGGGGGGCCACAACCTGGATGAGGGATGGTCAGATCGGGATTGGAACCTGAGGTCCAAAAACACCATCGATGCGACAGCCCAAACAGACCATCCTTCACCTGGCTGGCCGACATTTGAAACTTTTAAGAGCAATACAGCCAATGAGCAGACAGCTTTGAGAAGGATCTTCATCTCGTCTTTTCCTAAAAGAGTGTGCTGCAGCATGACAGCACGACGATTGACGAAGTGAAGCTTCGGATGTATCCCTGAGCCCAAAAGAGAACGACATCTCGCCTCCGGACAGCTGAGCGGATGAATGTGCTGCAGAATGAGCATTGCAGTATTCCCACACACACACAAGTATTCCAGTTCAAGTTGTCGTCGCAAGTTGTTCGAACAAGAAATAACAAGGTCGTTTGCAATTTAACTTAATTCTAATTTGTTACTACTAGTAAGGCACTTGTTACTAGTAGCGAGGCACTTGTTCCTAATAGCAAACATTGTTACTACTATCTTGTGAACATGGTCGTTTGGATTCAGGTCTCCTGAGGAGCGCTGCGTCTTCAATTTTCTGATGATGTCGGTGGCCTGCATGGAGAACTGTGGCAAGGCCACCATTTTGTCGACATCTTCTACCGCTCCACCGCTTCGGTGTTGTTTTATTTTCCCGAGCGGCCCGAGCTGGAAGCGGCTTCGCCCATAAAAGTGCGTTCTCTAAGGGGAAACAACACAAAAGGGGCCAGAAAAGGCAAACAAGAAAGGAAAACACGGAAAGACAAGAAGAGACAAGGAAAGACACGGAAAGAATGGTTCCTTGTTTGGAGTTGTGAGGAGTACGTAGTGATGTCCTTGCTCTAGGGTGTTGTCAAGATTCCAAGTGTTTCTTTGGACTCTCCACATTGTCACCTGTGCTTGCAACGCTCGGCCCCGTTTCCCCATCCGATCGCCTACCGGCATCGTTTTTCCCGTCGTTTCTTACGTCGTTTTCTCATCTCGGACCGTCGCACTTCTAGTTTCGGAAAGAACCTGTTTAAGCACTATAAGATGGACCTACCTCCACCTCACATCCACGACAGGTCGAGGTGGTGGTCACCCGCAGTGGCTTGTTGGATTGTATGGCCACTGTTGGATACAGGCACAGCGCAGAGCTGCACAGCAAGAATTGAATGAGCTGCAAGAGTCAGAGGTTCTCTTCGTTTCTGCAAATAAGTTGCGAGGACCAAAGATGGCACGGCAACCTCTGTAGAGGACTTCAAACCCACGGAGGGCAAGTTGAGTTTGGGGACTTGGATACATTCGGAGACTGCGATGGCGAAACAACATGTCGACTTCAAAATTGTAGCATCATAGGGTGACAAAGTGGCTAATCCAAAACAGTCCTATTAATATCTATTAATTAGGTTGGAGGCCGTCGCTAGTAAAGAAGGTTGGAGGCCATTGCTCGTCACGTCTCAAGGCTTCAATCCTGGGGAAGAGCAGAAGTCCTTCGAGGTGGATTCCGGGATCCCATCAGTGTTCACTCACCGTTTACTCACTCGCATGCACAACAATGTTCTGCACACACCGGTCGTGATCGAAGAAGTGTTTTGCGTTTCTTTTTTTGCAAACAACAGAACAAGCATTTTTTGCTTCCATTTGGAACCTTAGACTAGCTAGCCAGCTTCTCCCTCGTTTTGACATGGTCCAAGTGAGACCTGGAGACCTCCTTTTCAGGTTGAAATCGTGGACGATGACCGCTGCGAAGACCAAGAAGAGTCCGGCGCCCAGGTCATGGTCGAAGTCTTCGCCACAGATGCGGCAAGTGCGACACGAACGGGAGGTCGAACATGTGTTCTTGGAAAAAGAGAACGGGAGGTCGAAATGGGTCTAAAACGGACCAAGAAAAAAAGGAAAGGTAAAAGGACGAAAGGAAAAAGGAACAAAAGCTCTTGGAGCAAGGACGCTACTAGGGGCTCCTGGCCGTACTACTAGGAGCAAGAAGCTACTAGGAACAAAGGGCATCGCTACTAGGAGCAAGGACGCTATTACTCAGCTTGCTCCAGGTTCTACATCGAGCTCTTGGAGCCTAAAGTGCACAAGAATGGCGATGGCGGCAAGGATAGCATTCGCTTCGCTATCTTGGGAGACAATGCCATAACCACCATCAAGATCATCGACAAGGACATGTCATCAACTCAGTGGTGTTTGGACTGCTTGGAACTCGTGTTTGAACTAGAATTCTCCCAACTCGACAAATCTCCTCACATCTTTGAGCTCTTTGACAAATCAGCAAAGCGAAGCGCGAAGCGAAGCGCGAAGCGAAGCGCAACTGAGACCCGGGATTTTCTGCTTCGACCATGAGCATGATCAAGTTGAAGTGCACTCAAAGCCCGATGTGGATGTCAAGGTGCTTTAAAGCTTGTGTTTGGTGCCAATCGCCATGCCCGCCTTGCATGCCAAATGGCACTCTTTTCTCGCCTTGTTTGGCCTTGCCCAGTTCGATGTGATGGTGAAGAGAATAGAAGGGGCAAGTGGAAAGGCCGTGAGAATCAGCGCTTCGACTTTTCGTTTGAGTGTCCAAGGTTTAGGACCTTTAGGAGTGCAGGTCGCAGTTTGCAGAGTGGCTCCACCCTCGCACTTGCTTGGGGGTGTAGTTTTTGTCGTTACGAAACATGTGGCTCTGCTTCTATTTTTGGCACATCCACCAAATTAAGACCTGATAGTAGCAAGAAGCCACTAGGAACAAGAAGCTACTAGTAGCTCCTGGCATCGCTACTAGGAGCAAGAAGCTACGAACGTAACAAAGGGCATCGCTACGAACGGAGCGAGAGGACGCGACGTTCCCGGAACAGAGCACAACCCGAGTATCGACGGGTCGTTTCATCGACCTCGCTCCTAGTAGCGTCGTTGCTCCTAGTAGTAAGGCCAGGAGCCCCTAGTAGCTTCTTGTTACTACTAGTAACGCACTTGTTACTAGTAGCGATGCACTTGTTTCTAGTAGCTTCTTGTTACTAGTAGTAAGGCACTTGTTACTAGAAGCGATGCACTTGTTACTTGAACGACCAGGTCTCCTGCAAGTATCGATGTGAAGGTGATTCAGCCCAGGCGAGAAAGATGCGTCACGTGGATTGTCCGGTGGACATGTCACTGGAGACGACGGGAACCGTTTTTGCCTCCCTGTTTTGCCACTGAATTCCACACTAATTTGTGACTATTCTCGTCGGCCTTTTGGCAACTCTCGTTAGTTGAAATGAACTTGAAGCTAAATTTGAACTTGAGGTGGGTGAAGACTTCGAAGCGCAGGAAGGAACTTTGGAGCCTGGCTCTAAGCTTCTCTCTCTTTTTGCAACTGGAGTCTTGTCACTTTCGACACGTTAGGTTTACTCCCGGTGAGTCCAGCTCCCAGTGCTACCACATTCCTACAGTCAAAAACACAAGCGGTGAGAACGAACACTGAGCCGAACGAGCAGAACGAGCCTGGGATTTGACTACTAGTAACAAGCTGCATCGCTCCTAGTAACAAGAAGCTACTAGGTAGGAGGCCGTCACAATTTGGTGTGATGCCATCGCTACTAGTAACAAGAAGCTACTAGGTTGGAGGCCGTCACAATTAGGTCGGAGGCCATCGCTACTAGTGACAAGAAGCTAGTAGGTTGTAGGCCATCGCTATTAGGTTGGAGGCCATCGCTACTAGTGACAAGAAGCTACTAGTAGCAAGTTGCATCGCTAGTAGTAACAAGAAGCTACTAGTTTGGAGGCCATTCCTATTAGGTTGGAGGCCATCGCTATTAGTGACAAGAAGCTACTAGTAACAAGGTGCATCGCTGGTAGTAACAAGAAGCTACTAGGTTGGAGGCCATCACTATTAGGTTGGAGGCCATCGCTACTAGTAACAAGAAGCTACTAGGTTGGAGGCCATCGCTATTAGGCTGTAGGCCATCCCTACTAGTAACAAGGTGCATCGCTACTAGTAACAAGAAGCTACTAGTGTTTGGAGGCCATCGCTATTGCGTTGGTTGCCATTGCTACTATATACTAGTAACAAGAAGCTACTAGGTTGGTGGCCATTGCTATTAGGTTGGAGGCCGTCGCTACCAGTAACAAGCAGCTACTAACAAGGTGCATCGCTACTAGTAACAAGATGCTACTAGCTTGGAGGCCATCGCTGTTAGGTTGGAGGTATTGGAAGCTACTAGTAACGAGGTGCATCCCTACCAGTAACAGGAAGCTACTAGGTTGGAGGCCATCGCTATTAGGTTGGAGGCCATCGCTACTAGTAACAAGGTGCCTCGCTACTAGTAACGAGAAGCTTCTAGGTTGGAGGCCATCATCGCTATTAGATTGTAGGCCATTGCTACTAGAAGCTGCTAATAACAAGGTGCATCGCTACTAGTAACGAGAAGCTTCTAGGTTGGAGGCCATTGCTATGAGGTTGGAGGCCATCGCTACTAGTAACAAGAAGCTACTAGTAACAAGGTGCATCGCTACTAGTAACAAGAAGCTATTAAGTTTAATTCTAATAGCTTCTTGTTACTACTAGTAGGAGTAGGTGCATCGTCCCCCCCCGCTTGCGCGCGCGCGCGCGAAAAGGTCCTAGTAGATTCCTTTGCTAGTAATTACAATTCTAATTAAATTCTTATTGTTACTAGTAGTAAGGCACTTGTTTCTACTAGCTTCTTGTTACTACTAGTAAGGCACCTGTTACTACTAGCGTGGCACTTGTTACTAGCTAGAAGCTGTTGAGGTGTGAGAAGAAGATTGAGATGACCATCAAGGGTAGAAAGAGGCGACCGGACTGTCACAGCGGGCTCTGGACGGTGGACGGCACTGTATGACCACTGTGATTTGCTGTGCTTCGGCAGGTATGAGCAAACTCAAATGCATTGGCCTCGGCTAGTGTGGAACCATTGTGAGTGTCTTGTTGACTGCTTTTGCTCATGAATCTTGGTGCTTTCTTCGTGCAACCCTTTACTTCACAAAATCAAGTAATAGCTGAATCCATGAGTAGAGCATTACACGACATAGACCTTTTCTTGAAATGGCGGTCCCACTTTAACCTAGCTGGATGACCCAATTATTGATTGCGAGTTGTGGGCTGTACCAAAACACGGGGGGGGCGGAATGTGGTCACATCCTGAAGCCTGAAGCGGTGCCATGGCGAGCTGTCCCCAAAGTCGCTGGAGCCTTCGTCCAGACGTCTAGCAGGTGGAGCGTTGACGTCGACGTCTCGCGAGACGAGATGCGAGACGTTCTTTTCCAGTCGAGAACATTCTCTGACAGGCTTCATGGGGAGCAGTTCGAGTCAAGCAGGCTTCTGTGAATGCAAGCGGCAAGCTCAGGATTTGGCTCACTGATTTGGTAGATCGCTGAACGCCGAACTAATGGACAAGACCAGATTTGGCGACAAGAACACTTGGACATTACCCTTTAGAGATGACAATTCCAAGATCAAGTAGGACTGTAGAAGCGGACAAGGCTGAAAGGAACAACACTGTTCCTTGACTCATTTTCCTGGAGCCAAGGGATGTGGTGAACAAGGTGATCCATGTGTTGGGCCCAGAAGGGTTCTTGCTCAAGCCCTTTAAAGGCGCTCAACCTGACGCAAAACACGAGTCTGTGCTTTTCATAAGCAGCGACTCCGATCGAGCAATTGGCAGCGACGCAGCGACGTCGCGACTCGACGACGACGCCCCCTAAGGCTGATGCAGTGGAGGAGCAATGGCAGGTCTCCGCGGCAGATGAGATGGATGTTAAGCCCCAAGAGGAGGTCTGCAAGGCGCTCTGCTTCGGAACCCCGTTCGTAGCGTCCGATCGCTCCGTTCGTTTTTAAGGCCAGGAGCCCCGTTCGTAGCGTTCGATCGCTCCTAGTAAGGCCAGGATGGTCTAACCAGCATGGTTTATGTCATGTCTGATATATGTGCCATGGTCCAGAACATTCATTGTGGATGAGAGGGGATGGTCTGGGATGGTCCTCACAAAGGGGTGAGCATCTGCCACTGCCACACAAGGAGTTTTTGCCATGGTTCATACGCGGCAAACACGAAGCGTTCTCAGAATTGCTGATGTCTTGGGCTACTAGTAACAAAGGGCATCACTACTAGGAGCAAGGACGCTACTAGTAGCTCCTGGCATTAGTACTAGTAACAGGCATTAGTACTAGTAACAAGAAGCTGCTAGTAACAAATAACATCGCTACTAGGAGCAGCTCCTGGCAATAGTACTAGTAACAGGCATTAGTACTAGTAACAAGAAGCTACTAGTAACAAGGGCATCGCTACTAGGAGCAAGGACTACTGGGGGACCCTACCTTTATTACTGGGTTACATTTTGGCTACGAAAGCACATTCCATGTAAAATTTCACGTGCTTTTTCAAGTGGGCTAGATGTACGAAAGCTCAACTTTCGAAGTTGTGCTTTCCGACCAAAATCGTTACAACAATAAGCTAGTAGTAACAAGTGCATCGCTAGTAGTAACAAGTGCCTTACTACTAGGAACAAGAAGCTAGTAGTAACAAGTGCATCGCTAGTAGTAACAAGTGCCTTACTACTAGGAACAAGAAGCTAGTAGTCACAAGTGCATCGCTTCTAGTAACAAGTGCCTTACTACTAGGAACAAGAAGCTATTAGAACACATGTTCAGTTCTAGGGCCCAGGACCAAAATCTTGCTGAAATCGTGAGTCCGATTTTTCCAGAACATGGCAGATTCGGGTGGATGCCGCATATATGTTATATACATACTCATAAAGGTCTATATAGATCGAATATAATATGAATAGTATAATTGCATTCAAAGACAGATCTGCCGGATGCTTGAAGATGAAGATGTTGGACGACTTGAAGAGATTGAGAAAAATGAGATGTCACTTGATCCATTCGCAATGTTTGTGACAGATGTGCACAGATGCCACCGATTTCTGCACTGGGTTGAACCCCCCAGGCCGTTGAAATCACGCCAAGAAGTGTGAAGATGAAGGTCCAGGACGGGAATGGTGAAGGGTCGTGTGAAGGTTTGAACATGGCCTTCCTTTCCTGTTTTAGCCCGCTACGCCCTGCTGGCCCTGCCTCCTTACTTAATGAAGTAGGCGCCTACTTAATTAAGGGAACAGTTCGCTCCTAGCTGCTCCTAGCTGCTCCAGCTTCTAACTGGACGCAAGATAGCTCACGCTTCCTTGAAGAAGCGCTCACACTATTCATTTGGTTCCTAGATTGTTGGGGAAACTTAAATACAGTTTCAGGGCATAGCCTTCTGGGCTGGGTGCCCAGTGTTTGAGCATAAGGGGCATGGTTATCTTCTTTTGGGCCAGCTTTGCAGGTTCCACTGCAGTTCAAACTTGCAAAAGCTGGGACAAACTTGGACACACTTTGGAACTATCTGGCGGCAGCTACTGTTTTCTTTCCTTGCTTCAGAAGACCAAAGTGGAAGACAGAGCTGGCGGCAGCTACACGGGCGAGTGGTTAGGCTCGATGCGGCACTTGGCTTTGTTCTTATCTTTTTCTTTTCCAAAGAAATGGTCTCCAACATATTAGCGGTGGCCTCCAACCTAAAAGCGATGGCCTCCAACCTAATAGTGATGGCCTCCAACCTAATAGCTTGGCTTCGTTCTTGTCTTTTTCTTGTCCATGTTCGCCCCATTTGCTTGAAATCCCCACTTTCTTTCCAGGGTGCTTTCGGCATGGCAAAGGGACGCAGGCATGAGAAGAGCATGAACACATGGAGCATTTGGAGCATGACGCAGGCATCGAGTAGACCAGATTCGCTTGGGGCATGGCTAGTTCAGGTCTGGGCCGATGGCTCATGCTATTCGGGCCAATGGCTTCAGGATGTTCCTCATGGCAAAGGTCGACTTGAGCAGGCCGCGTCTTCAAGCGCTTGGCGTGCTTGCTTCTCAATCGGTCAATCGGCTTAGTTTGTTGCACGTCCAACTTCTGTTTGTACCAGGGTTCATAGAACTTTAAACCTATTTTTGTTGGCTTTTTGAGGACGGGTGCATGCTTATTTTGTGTAAGCTGACAGGGGGACGTTTACGATGGGCAATGGAGATATGGCAAGGCACAAGCGTTGATGTTTGTATGAGATTCCTTTTGCTGTTTGATGTCTCTTCAATTCCAATTTCATTGATCGACTGCTTTTTGGGAGGCTTGTGGCCATGGCATTCACATTGCAGCGAACAAAGTCAGGTTGGCACAAGCCATCTCTACCTTCGGTCCAAATCTCTAGTCCCCCTTGTTGTCAGCTGGCTCTCAGATAAGAGCAAAGGGTGAGTAGCTACCAAGCTTAAGTACCTACTAGCGATGGCCTCCAGCCTAATTGCGATGGCCTCCACCCTATTTGCTTTCCTGCAATTCCTTGTCAGGTACGAGGGCGAGTGGGTCAACGACCAAAAGCATGGCCACGGGGAGGAGCATTATGCTGATGGTGGACGCTTCTCTGGAAGTCCCCCGGCTATGCACACCTAGCGACCGCCAAGCATGCCGAACGACATGTCGAAAAGAAGATGATGAACGTTGAGAAACACTTTGAATCGAATGCCGAAGCGAGGCTATGAAGAAGGCTACAAATCTGGAGAAGGTCTTTTCCGCTGGCCAGACGGCTCTGAGTACAAGGCGGAGAAGGGGAAGTATTCTGTATTCCATCCACTCCTAAATTCCTTACACATGATGAATGCACATTGTAATGCGGTATGTATCAAATTGAATGCCTTTTCATTGTCTTTCTGTCTTTTCCCCAAACAGTTTGCTGTTGGGGTTCTCTCTTAGGAAGAAAAGGGCTGGCCATGATAGTAGTGGCGCACGTCTGCCCTTTCTTCACCGCCAAGTCCGGGTCTTCTCAAGATCTCTGTGTTTTGTTTGTTTGCGTTGCCGGGTCCGGGCCTTCCTTTTCCCTTGCTTGGCCGCACTGTTTTCCCTCTCTCCACTGTTGATATGACGTTCGCAAACAGCTGGAGGCCATAGGAATATAATTGCAGACGCTTCCACCAACAATTGAATTCAAGGATTTGACGCAAAGTCCTGCTGAAGCTGTTTGGGGTCTATGTTGGTATTCATATCTTCCATGAGAAGCCTTACTAGGTTGCTACTAGGTTGGAGGCCATCGTTACTAGGGTGGAGGCCATCGCTACTAGGGTGGAGGCCATCGGTACTAGGGTGGAGGCCATCGCTACTAGGTTGGAGGCCATCGCTACTAGGTTGGAGGCCATCGCCACTACTAGGTTGGAGGCCATCGCTACTAGGTTGAAGGCTATCGGTACTAGGGTGGAGGGCATCGCTACTATAGGTTGGAGGCCATTGCTACTAGGTTGGAGGCCATCGCTAGTAGGTTGTATGTAACTTTACATGTGCGTCTCATTTTGAGGGCCACTTTTTCAAGGATTACTTCTGCGGTCATGGTCCGAAGCCCGGCTTTGCTCCACGAGCGACGGGGCGTGGCGGCGTGGCGCAGAAACTTTGAGGCCGACAGAAGTGGCCGGATGGCCGTAGCTATGATGGGCAGTGGCAAGCATCCTGGCTCAGTGGCAAGCGTTTCTGCTTGGACTTCTGTGCGTCTTCAGAAGTTAGGTTTCCCCAAAAATCTAGGAGCCAAATGAATAGTGCGAGCGCTTCTTCAAGGAAACTCCCTCCCGCCCTTCGCTTAAGTAGCTAGGAGCTGACTCCCTTACTTGATTAAGTAGGCGCCTACTTGATTAAGTAAGGAGGCAGGGCCACGGGCTAAAGTTCTTTGAAACAAAAAGGAAAACACAAAAACATCATCTTGTTGTTCTTGTTTTGTGATAAGAAAACTGCCCGACGCCTGCATCATTTCTCTCAACTTGCGGACGCGGAGGCAAACCTGATGCATGGTCAGGGACGCTTCAAATGGCCCGATGGCCGATCTTACCACGGCACTTATCGTGATGGTCTGAGGTTGGGAACGGCGGGAACGGAAGGCTTCCATGCACGCCCTTGCACCCTTCCATGTCTTATACCTTTTTTTGGGACCACTGCAGTTGACCACAGACAAGCACAGAAGCACCTGATAGGCTTATATATATATATGTATACTGGTTAATACCTGCTTCCTGTGCAGGCATGGTCAAGGCAAATTCGTTTGGCCCGATGGTCGCATCTACGAAGGCGCGATCCAAGCCGAAAGCAAGCACCAGGGCCAAAACGACAGGAGATTCTTTGTCTTTGCAGAATTTGCCATACGTCATGACAGCATGAAAGGTGAGTGGGAGGCAGGCAAACAGCATGGCAAAGGCTGGGACTGTTGCAGTCGATAAAGACTCTCTGGGAGAGTCTCTCCCTGTTTACCAGGGATGGCCTCCAACCTACTAGTGATGGCCTCCAACCTACTAGCGATGGCCTCCAACCTGCTAGCGATGGTCTCCAACCTCCTAGCGATGGCCTCCAACCTAATAGCAATGGCCTCCAACCTACTAGCGATGGCCTCCAACCTACTAGCGATGGCCTCCAACCTGCGAGTGATGGCCTCCAACCTGCTAACGATGTTCTCCAACCTACTAGCGATGGCCTCCAACCTGCTAGCGATGGTATCAAACATACTAGCGATGGCCAGTAGCGATGGCCTCCAACCTACTAGCGATGGCCTCCAACTCAATAGCAATGGCCTCCAACCTGCTAGCGATGGTCTCCAACCTAGTAGCGATGGCCTCCAACCTAGTAGCGATGGCCTCCAACCCAATAGCAATGGCCTCCAACGTGCTAGCGATGGCCTCCAACCTACTAGCGATGGCCTCCAACCTACTAGC